ACCTGAGGCACATGCCCTCAGCTAGAATCAAACCCGCGACTCATTGGTCTGCAGGCCAACGCTCTAACCACAGAGCAAAACCGGCCAGGGCACCATCTTCATCTTTAAAATTACCTTGGGTATTCTTTTTTTTTTTTTTGAGGCAAAGAACATTACACTTATGAATTAATTTGGGAACAGCTGACATCTCTACAATGAGACTTCCCATTCATAACCATCATATTCGTTCTATCTACTTAGGGCTTTTGTTAATTTCAATAAAGTGCTATATAGATTTTACTCCCAAAGGTCATAAAAGCCTTTTTTGCTGCTAGCTATCACATTATACCTGCCCCCCACTGTGTACTTGCCCCTGGCCCCCAACTCAGCTTCTTCATCCTCTGCCCAACTTCACAGAGCAGAGTCCCCATAGGCCAGGCTATGCCCTGTCCAAACTCCTGACCCACCCACAGATATGTGTGACCATGGGAAGAGGTTGTTTGAAGCTCCAGGACAGTGTGTTCCAGAGCCATGACTAAACCCTCTCACCACTCAAGGACACCTGCCCAGCTCTCCCTCTGCATCTCTTCCTGCCGCATACTTTATTCTTTGGTGTGAGAGTTGGCAGACTTTCCTGGAAAGTGCCATAGAGCAAATACTTGACTTAGGCTTTGCAGTCACATCTAGTCTGTTGAGGATTCTTCTTTGGAAATTTTTTTTTAATCCCCACCTGAGGGTATTTTTCCATATAGAGTGGGAGGGGGGAGAGAGAAACATCAATGGAAGAGAGAAACATCGATGTGAGAGACACATCGACTAGCTGCCTCCCACAGGACCCCAACCAGGGCCAGGGAATAAACCACAACCAAGATACGTGCCCTTGACCGTAATCAAGCCCACGACTCTTTGGTCCGTGGGCCAACACTCTAAGCACTGAGCAAAACTGGCCAGGGCACTTTGGAATTTTTTTACAACTCTTTTTAAGGATGTAAAAAGCTTCCTTAGGGCCCCATGAGCTGTGGCCCACAAACACAGTGCCCATGGCTCATTCTCTTTGTGCACAACTGTGCTCTCTTTCATCTTTGAAAAGAACTTTTTCCCTGCCAGTTACTACTCCATCCCTTCCTTCCTTGTGCACAAATCTCCTTCAGAGAGCTGTCCATGCTTGCCTGACCAACTCTCCCCTTCTACTCTCCATCCCAGTCCAACTTTGTATGCTCTCCCCACCCAACTGCTGGGTCCTCTGCAGGGGGTGTTCCTACTGCCTGGAGCACCCTTCACTAAGTTTTACTCCCCTTCAAGAACAGGTAAGAAGCCGCCTCTTGCAAGAAGCCTTCCTGGACCAACACTCACCCTCCAGCAACCAAAGCATCCCTCAATTTCTTCTACTGATGAGTCTCTTGCACTTCGCTGAAACTGCTGCCAACAGTCTAACCACCCTAAATCCAGCCTGTTCCCCTTGCCAGAACACTCTTCCCTGACAAACTCCTACTCCGCTGGAAACACACGGCCTCCTTCATTACCTGTTTCTTCCAGGACACTTGCTGTCATCTACAAGTGTGCTCACAAGAGCGTCTTTATTTAGGGGAGGTTCCCCGACCCCGTTTTTTCAGGTTCTGTTCACCAGGGTATCCCTCCCTACCACCTAGCCCACAGCAGGTGTTCAAATACTTGAATTTGACGGAAAAACAAAAGAGCAGATACGATGCACACGGGCAAGGCGCATGCCCACAGCGGCACGGCGGCCAGGGGCAGGGTCACGTGGCAGCTACGCGCTCCCGCGCTGCAGACCGACGTGCTTCTCCACCGGCACCTGAGCAACCGCGCCCGCGAGCGACGGGAGCGGAGGCGGGAGCCGGCGCAGCGCAGCCCTACCTCGGCGTCGCGGTTCAGGCGGTACACGTAGAGCTGCGAGGTCCCGGCCACCACGAGGTTGCGCTCGCTGTTGTTGAAGAAGTTGCAGTACATGGAGAACTCGAGGCCGGTGGGCGGGTGCGCCTGCTTGTACACGGCGTACATGGCGCCGAGTCCCGGCTGCGCGGGCGCGAAGGCGACAGTGAGCGGGCCGCCCGCGACCGCCGCTCACCTGGCAGTTGGAGCCGGCTCGCGGGGGACCGGGACGGCAGTGAACACGGTCCGGCGCCGCCCGGAAGCTGGGCGCGGAGGTTCCGGGCTCCTGCGCCTGCGCAGTGCCGCCCTGGTGGAGCGGCCGCGGGGGGATGATAGCGGCTGCTGGTGGCCGAGGGTAGCGGCAGATCTAGCGGCCCCGCTGCGGGTTCCGCGTCTACAGCTCCGAGGTTCCGAGCTCGCCCGAATTCCCGGGCCACACTGAGGGGCAACGCGGCGACGGGGTGGAAGCGGGACGGGGGTGCGACGACTCAGCGGGCTGGGTCCCCTGTCTGACCCAGATGGGGTTGGTGTGCAGGCTCCCTCGCAGGAAGATGCGGGTCTCCTCCTCCAAGCCCCCGTGCGTGGCCTGGGTGAGCGAGGCGAGCCTCGTAGTGTGGCCCCGGGAGGGAAGGGGCGAAGGGCAAGCGCCGCCGGTGTGCAGGAAGCCCCTCCAGCCCCGAGCTAGGAAAGCTTTCCTGGACACAACCGGTGTCCCGTCTGTGCTGTGTTCCCTCCGCAGGCCAACCCCACCACCATCGCCGCAGAGCCCGGCGCTGAAGGCGCACAGTCCCTGGCACTGGGGCCGCGTGTTTGCCAGTCCTCCCCCGCCCCCACGCACACTTCTGTCCTGCTGTATGTGAGCCCCCCCACCCCCACCCCCGCGCAGCGATTTTATCTTGCTCCACCCCTAGGCCTGGCACAATTGCCCACTGCGAGGACCTCGCACAGCTAAACAGACCTCTCCTCCCTTGATAGGGAGTCACCCCAGATACACTGTGAGAGGCCTGGGCCTTAGGAACGGAATAATAAGAAATAGAAAAGCCCAGAGGTGTGGTTCAGTGGTTGAGCCTCTACCCAGGCACCAAGATGTCGCTGGTTCAATTCCTGATCAGGGCACATGCGCAAGTTGTGGGCCAAAACCCCAGTGGGGGGCGTGCAGGAGGCAGCCCATCCATGTTTTCTCTCATGGAAGTTTTTTTTTTTTAATTTATTTTTGTTACAGATGTTTCTCCTTTTTTCCCCATTGATATCCTCCTCCCCATCCCCCCCACCCCGTCCTGGGCTTTGTTGTCAGTGACCATTGGTTATGCCTACATGCATATAAATTCTGTGGTTTATCTCTTCCCTCCTCCCCACCCCCTCTTCTGAGGGTTGTTAGTCTGTACCCTGTTTCCACGTTTCTGGGTCTATCCTCTTCCTCAGACTGTTAAGTTCATTACATTCCACAAATAAGTGAGATCATGTGATATTTGTCTTTCTCTGCTTGGCTTGTTTCACTTCGGATAATACTTTCCAGGTCCTTCCATGCTGTCTCAAAGGATAAGAGATCTTTCTTCCTTACAGCTGCATAGTACTCCATTGTGTATGTGTACCAAAGTTTTTTTTATCCATTTGTCTACTGATGGACACTTGGGCTGTTTCCAGATCTAGCTATTGTAAATAGTGCTGCTATGAACACGGGGGTACATATATTGTTTCTGATTGGTGTTTCAGGCTTCTTTTTTTCAAGCTTTTTTTTCTTTCTTTTTTTTTTTGGTATGTGCCCCTAGCGAGAACTGAAGCGGGACTCTGATCCGCAGGCCGACGCTCCAACTACTGAGCCAAACCGGCCAGGGCTGTTTCAGGCTTCTTAGAGTATATTCCTAGAAGTGGGATCACTGGGTCAAATGGCAATTCAATTTTTAATTTTTTGAGGTAACACCATAGTGTTTTCCATAGTGGCTGTCTCATAGAAGTTTCTCTCTCTCTCCCTCCAATCCCTTCCTCTCTATCTAAGAATTCAATAAAATAGCCCGGCCGGTGTAGCTCAGTGGTTGAGTGTCAACCCATGCACCAAGAGGTCACTGGTTCAATTCCCGGTCAGGGCACATGCCCAGGTTGTGGGCCCAATCCCCAGTGGGGGACATGCAGGAGGTGGCCAATCGATGTTCTCTCTCATCAATGTTTCTATCTTTCTCTCTCCCTCTCTCTCAAAAAATCAATAAAAATTCAAAAAAATACATAAAAGAAAGAAAGAAAGAAAGCAAGCAAGCCTTGGCTGGTTTGGCTCAGCAGTAGTGCAATAGCCTGTGGACCAATGAGTCACGGGTTTGATTCCGGTCAAGGGCATGTACTTCAGTTGCAGTTCGTCCTGGCCCTGGTCCCAGATGTGCAGGACGCAACCAGTCAATGTGTCCCTCTCACGTAGATGTTTCTCTTTCCCTCCCACTGTCTGAAGATAAATAGAAAAATATCCTCGGGTAAGGATTTAAAAAAAAGTATAATCATATTAAAAAAAATGGCATATAAATGTGTATGTGTTGTATGCAAGTCAGCCCACTTGCTCATGTCAGCAACAAGACTCAGTCTGGACCGTGGAGCTCTGCAAAGGGACCCCTTGGGTGCCCAGGCAGGTGTGTGAGCCCTGAACCACATCAAACCCCTTCAAAAGCCGTTAAATCCTGAAGCAAGGACTGTGAGGATGTACTGGAGGAGGCAGCAGAGGCAGAACACTCACTCTCAGCATCCATGCCACATGGACACTCATGGCGCCCACATCACAAGGCACAGTCTGTGCCCACTGGACTGTCAGACTGGCACCTGGCAAGTGCCCTAACAAGTGAATGAGAACTGAGAACTTGTCTGGGAGAGAAGAGAGCCAGAAATACGGGAGGAGCTATGTTGACTCCTCAGAGCCCCTGGCACTTCCCCACTTATCAGCCTTTCTTGGTGGGAGATCCTCATCCTCCCAGAAAGAAGAAGAGGCTGGGCCACAAGGGCAGGAATGTCTTTATTGAAACGGGGTTGCTGGGGTGTGGGGGAGGGAGGTTTTCAAACGCCTGGGGCTCTGCAGGTCCCTGGCTGCAGGTCCAAGGGGCTGAGACAGCACAGGGCCAGGAGCCAGACCCCAGGCCCGAGAGTGGGGGGAGGCGTCAGAGGACGATGCTGTCCTCATACAGAGACAGCAGCAGCAGGATGGTCCAGCCGCCCAGCAGGCCCACGTTGTGCAGCAAGAAGAGGAGCCAGGGCCGCCGGTCCCGCACGCTCAGCATGGCTGGGAGCTGAGAAGGCGGGCCTCGGGTTAGGGTCAGCCGGGCGGTCCCGCTCAGCTCCGCGCCAGGGCAGCCCCCTCCGCGCCCTCCGTCCTGACCATGTCGCAGAGCGCCACGTAGAGGAAGAGCCCGATGGCTACCGCCAGGATCCAGGACTCACTCTCCTCGCCGACGCCCATCGCAAGCGCCACGTAGAGGCCGACAAAGGCCGTGAGCGCCGAGGCCAAGTTCAGCAGCAGCGCCCGGGGAGCCGACAGCCCAGCGTGCAGCAGGGCCGCGAAGTCTCCTGGGGTGGGCTGGTCGGGGTCAGGCCCATCCCGCCCGACAGGCCCCGCCCCCGCCCAGGTAGCGGCTCCCGACAGGCCCCGCCCCGCGCTGCTCACCTAGCTCGTGCGGCACCTCGTGGCAGAACACGGCCAGCGAGGTGGCCAGCCCAGTCTTCCAGGAGGACGCGAAGGCAGCACCCAGGGCCAGCCCGTCAGCGAAGTTGTGCAGGCCGTCGCCCAGCGTGATCATGTAGGGCAGCAGCCTCAGCTCTGCGGGTGCAGCAGGTGTGGGTCGGTGTAGGCCTGGCTGCCACCATTCCCCTGGCCCCCAACCTTTCTGAGGCCTTCCCAGGGCTCACCTGGGCTCAGTCTCCGGGACCCAGGGCTTAGCAGCTGAGGGCTCTCCTCCACCACCTGGGGGGGGGGGTCCATGTGGATGAGCCCCTGGACAGGCGTGGAGGGGCTGGGGCTCCAGATCAGCCTCAGAGGCCAAAGACAAGAGCCCTGGGTTGGGGGCTGGGAGTGTAGGCGCTGGAAGGGCCCTTGTGGAGGGGGCTCTTCATGGGCCGGGAGGCTCACCAGGTCTGCTCGGGAGCTCTCGTGGGGCTGCTTGGACTGCCGGAGTTCCCTGGGCGCTAGCTGCAGAGACATGCCGTGGCTGTGGCCACCGTGGCCAGTGTGGCTGCAGGGCTCATCCTTCTGGTCCTGTGGGGATAACAGTTCAGGGCCTGCTACACCTCCTCCCTATTCACCTACCCGGTCCAATCTCCACAAGCCTGACCTCTGGGTCCAAGGGCAGCAAGAGGTCACAGAGTTTCTCAAACAGGAAGAAGATGTAGAAGCCCCCAAGTGCAACAAGGAGGCGCCAGATGGGCTGTGGGCCATGGTCCTCATCCCCTTCAAGCTCACTGTGTCCACCATGCTGGTGCAGCCCGAGAACCTGAAGGCATAGAGGTCAGGGGGGCTGGGCTGGCTTCCTCAGGGTCTCCCTCCCACAGATGAGGAAAAGAGTTAGGGTTCAAGGAAGGGCCCTAGGGCAGTGGGCCTGGAAGGAGGACCAAGCAGCGGAGGCCCTGGGGTCGGGGAGGGAAGATCCTGGCCAGCAGGGCTGACCTTGGGTGTCAAGTGCAGGAGGGCGTCTCCAGTGAGTGCGCCCACGGCCAAGCCCAGGAACATCTGGATTATGTAGTGGGAGACCGAGCTGCAGCCAGTACAGATGAGAAGCAGGAGGCCGAAAACTGAGCAGAGACAGATGAGCAGCGTGGCCAGGGAGCTGTACAGGTATGCTGGGGGGCAGGGGGAGCAATGAGGACCCAGGTGAGAGCCTCCCTCTCAGCCTTCCCAGGGGAGGGGGTGATCCAGGAGTGAGCAGGAACTCACCAGAGCTGTAGGTGGTTAAGTACTAGCCGGGCCTCTGCTCATGCTGACCCCTGGCCTCAAAGCCCCATCCTTCTTCCTTTCAGGTCCCCCACGTTTCCCTGTGACCCCTGTACTCCACTGTCTTCTCCCCCCAGCCCAGCACCACACCCCCTCGTCCCTGGGCAGCCCCCACTGCCATGTGGCCACACCCCTGGGCATGGGCAAGCAGGCAGGCTAGGGAGACAGCACTCACTCTCTGCCTGGCTGAGCTGGTTCTGGGCACCGTGGCTGGGCCGGGGGCTGCAGGCCCCACTCAGCTGCTGCTGGAGCAGGGCAGGGCTCAGCTGGGCCCAGGCTTCTGGGGTCACCCCAGTCTGCTCGGATAGCCCGTACACAGCCATCACATCCCTGGCACTCAGGCATACCTGGGAGGTGGCAGGACTGAGAATCAGGGACCTGAGCAGGCCTGGGGGACCCCATCTCTCCCCAGAACTGTGGCACCTGGGCTGCTCACTGTGTCCCACACGCTGGAGTTGCTATTGGGGGTGGCAGGGTTGGCCCTCTTTTCCAGATGATGGTGGTGATTGTAGTCACTGTGATCACCATGGGTCCCAGCCACTCGACCGACCCCCAGGCGCTGCATCAAGGCCGCCAGCTCTGGCAGAGAAGACAGAACCAAGTCTGTGTGGGCTCCGGCCCTGCCCTCCCCAGGGGTATGTCTTAATCAGTGGCCTGCCCAGGCCTCACCATCCAGTGTGATGTTGGGAGTGTCATTGTGGTGCTGCTGGAACACGAAGTCCACAAAGTACTGGGGGCTCGGCAGGGTGTGGAAGCAGGACCCATTCCTGACATGGTCCAGCAGAGCAGCCAAAACAGGGCCAGGGCTGCCGGGGACCCCTGCCCTTGCTGCCTCATCCAGCAGCTGCAGCAGGTCCACACAGGCCTGGGGGAAGGCTAGGCCTCAGCTTCACCCCCAGTATGGCCTTCCAGCCTCTAGCACCACCATCACCCCTAGTGCCCCTGGATGCCAGTGACCCCAGGATCTAGCCTGGAGTAGACTGCTCAGAGTACTAACCCCTCCTGCTCTCCTAAGACCTGGGCTGGGCCTCTCCTCTCCCTGGGGCCACAGGCTTCTACTCCCTTGGTTCAGCTAGTCTAGGCTGCCCCTCCCTGGGCATCTCCCTGTGGCCCCAGGAGCTTCACAGCCTTTGTCCCCTGGTGAGGGCCCCTCCAGGGGCTCCCAAAGTTCCTGCCCCCAGTAGGTGGTAAACGTCTATTATAACCCACCCCAGCCAAGCCTACCCTCCTGAGTGTGTCCCCAGATTCCCCCAAGTGCCCAGCAAGCTTGGTGGACCATTCTACCCAATACAGCCAGGCCCAACCCCCTGAGTGGATCCCCTCCCTTTGGCCCCCCTTGGGTCCTCCTTGGTCCTCCTCACCCACCCCTGGACAGCCTGCCTGGGCCCTCACCTCCTCTGTACTGGGCAGGCCGGTGGTCTGGATCTGAATCCTCCTCAGCAGCCTGCTTAGGCCTGAGGTCAAGGCCCCGGGGCCCTCCAGCAGGGCCAGAAGGCGGTCAGCTTGGGAGGCCCAGCGGCCAGCCCGGATGTCCTGACATGTGCCTTCAGGATCGCTGAGGTAGAGGGCAGCAGCTGCACTGAGGCGGGCGATGTGTGTGGGCTCCAGGACGGGACCTGGGGTCAGCCCTGGCTCCTCAGGCCTGCCTAGGGCCAGGAGGTCTTCCACAGACAGGCACTGTGGGCAGAGACAGGTGAGCAGGGGCCAGGCACCTGGTCCCCAGCAGCTGCTTCCCCGCAGGGCCACACCTCTCCATCAGCGGCTCCCACACACTCCCCTCAATTACAGGGGTGCACACACACAGGGGTCCCAGGCCGTGTTCCCCCTTCCAGGTGGTTTCTTCCTGGAACTGCTGCCAGGGGGCTGCTGAGAGGTGACCCTGGAATCCCAGAGCTTCAGAGTCCCCATCATGACCCCCAGCCCAGAGAGGATAGGGTGAGCTTGGAGCGGCAGGCAGAGCCATGGCGCCAGGCCTCTTGGCCTCTGCCCGCCTCCTGGAGTTTGCCCAGGTCTTTTGCTGCCAGCCCTTGGGGTGGAGCAGACAGGGCTGGGTCTGATGGGGGATTTGCCGGGTGGGGCACTTACCTTTCCACACGGCCCTGAAGTGCAGTGCACACGGGCCGCCAGTGTATTTAACAGGCTGCCCAGAGCCACGCGGTCCAGAGCACCTTGCCCCGAAGACAGCGAAGTCAGCAGGCGAGCAGGCTGGGCTGCTGTCCCGGTCACCACCAGCACAGTCAGCAGCAGCCCCAGCTGATGCCCGGCCGAGACCACCATGCCGAGGCCACAGAGGATCAGTGCTCCGGAGAGGGCGGCACCCTGGGGCAGGCTGCGGTTCGAGAGGGCTGCCTGGGGCCAGACTGGGGCTAGGCACCAGAGCTCTCCCAGGTATTTCCTGCAGGGCTCTGTGATTGGCTGTCAGCGGAGTCGCAGGTTAACCATTCCAGGGGCAGGTCCTCCCCAAAACACTGAGCCACTGCCTGTGGGGGAGAGCTCCCTGGGGCCAGTTTCTCGGGCTCAGTGAGAATCTTTCCCAGGAATTTCCTGCTGGGCTTTGTGATTGTCTGAAGGCGGCATGGAGGTTTAGCATTCCCAGACAGGTCCTCTCCAAACCTGCAGGGGTGAGGGCTGGGTTCTTCCCCTGGACGTGGTGGCCCAGGCATCCACCTGCCTGCCTGCCGCTCCCCCAAGGGCCTGGGGTGTCACCGCCTGCAGCCCTTTTTCTAGGGCCTACTCCCAAGCAAGGGGGGCCTGGGGCAGAGCTGCGTGGCTACCTCCCAAGCCTCACCCCAGCAGTTCCTGACGTTTCACCTGAGGGCGCACCTCCCATACCCTTCCCAGGAGTCCTCCCTGGCTCAGGGAGCTGAAGCCCCCCAGAGCCTTGAGAATGTGGGGCCCTCTCCTCTTGGGCCCTGGGCTGTGGTTTCCCTACTGGGGGTGGGCTGGAATTTTCTGGAACCGGGAACCAAAGGTTGGCTGAGTCATGCTCCCCTCCCCAGACCCTGGGGAAAATTCCTCAGGAAATAGCCAAAGCCCCACAGGGAGCCTGGGTTGTCTCTTCCCTTTGGCACCTGGGAGGACCTCTTGGGTGTGGCTTCTTGCCCCGCCCCTCCCTGCAGGCTCCCTATCTGGCCTTTGACCCTTGGCCTTATCTCTGCCAAGCTGGCATCTGGGGAAAGGGGCAACCTTGCCTTCTGGAGGGAGCCTCTGGGCAGCCCCCCGTTTGGCCAACCCCTGGCCCACAGGGTGACATCTGTGGGAAACGGGGGAAGGGACTTCTGTACACCTGGGTCAATGAGGAGAGAAGCTGGATTCAGGTTCCCTTCACACAGTTCTGAAGGCTGAGCCCAAACTGGCCTATTTCCATGCCCCCTGCACCAGGACCCACTGGCTGGCTGGAGCCCAGGGACCAGGCTGCAGCTTGGGCCACCCACTGCTCAGGGCCTATTAGCTTCCTGGCAAAGGTCTCAGCCCAGCCTTCCTGCCCTGCTTGAGCCCTTGAAGGCCTGGCAGGCCCCTTGGCAGTCCCTCAGGGTCTGTGTGACCTCAGTGCTGGTCCACTCTCCTCCGCTTCTGGCCCCCACCTCTTCCTGCCAATGCCCTCTCCCTAGCTCAGCAGGGGCAGAGTCACCAGCTGCCCCGTCGGGTGCTGGGTTGTCCAGTGGGTGCCAAACCCTCTCTTTCCTTCGTCCCCAGTCCCCTCTGGCATTGTCCCGTCATCTGATAAACTCATTGCAATCACTCCTGTCTTCAAATATACACCCGTGTTCACAGCAGCCAAAATGTGAACAAACCAGATGTCCATGCACAAATGGATAAATGAAATGTGGAATACTTACTATTCAGCCTTAAAAACAGGGCACATCATACTGAGATAAACCTGTCCCTGCCCCTCCCTACAGGCTCCCTCTGAGACCTTTGACCTCTGGCCTCTCTGACTAGCTGTCACCTGGGGGAAGGGGCAGGCTCTCAGGTCAGCCTTGCCTTCTGGAGGCCTCTGGGCAGCCCCCTTTGCACCTGACCCCTGACCCTGAGCCCTGGGAAGTGTGGTTGGGGTGGGGGAGAATCTCCAGGGGAGCAGGGAGCCCTGCCACGGATTCTGTCCCCAGCGTCCCGTGGTGCCCAGGGCAGGGCATCAGGCTAAGGGCAGTGTCCTGGGCCTGGGGCCAAGTGTTTCTTTCTCCTTCCCACCTCTTGCAAAATGTGGTCTGTCCATATGATGGGATATTATTCAGCCTTAGAAAGGAAAAAAACTGCCACATGCTACATGGATGAACCTTGAGGGCATGACGCCAAGTGAGATAAGCCCGGCACAACGGGACAGATAAGTAGGATTCCGCTTACATGAGGCACTAAGTCACTCTCAGGACAGAAAGGAGGATGGTGGGTGCCAGTGGCTGGGAGAGGGAACGGAAATTTCATTGGGAGTTCCAGTTTGAGAAGATACAGAGGGCTCTGGAGGAGGGTGGTGGCAACTATCACACACACTAAATGTACTTAATGCCACTGAAGGTAAAAGGGCAAATTTTGCTTTATATATTTTATTGCAATAAAAAAATAAAAATAGACCGGATCAACCTTCCTTGGTCCGCTGCCCCTTCAGCTGCCTGACAGCATGCTTAGGGACTCGGGCACTGGCAGCCTCTCCCAGGCTCCCCTGAAGGCCCCTCTGGTCAGTCACTGACAGCCCCACAGGCCACACCCGAGGGTGCTTTCGCTAGTTTCAGCCTCCCAGGGCCCTGTGGGTCCTCCACTCCCTGGGCCTGGCTCCCCTTCAGTCCCTTTGCTGGCCTTTCTACCCTCAGCCTCCAAGCAGACTTTGGACCTACTGGATAGAATTCTGGGCACCCGTGATTGTAGGCTTTTGCCCCAGATACGCTGAGCCTTCATCCTGCACGGTTTCCTCTGACGGCCAGCTGCCCACTTGACAGCTCCCATGGATGGTCAGAGAGACAAGCCCAACTTATCCTGTGCAAACTGGGCTCTGGCCACACCCTCACAGACCCCCTGCTCCCTGCAGGTGTCCACAGTTCTACAGGAGTTCCTGCACTAGTCACTCAGGCACCAAGCTGCAGTGTCATCTGGACTGCTATCCACATCCTGCCCAGCAGCCAACACTGGGTACACCTTTCAGCACAGCCCACACCTAGAACCTGACATCCCTCATCACCCCTCTGGCCGGCCCTGGCTGTGAGCCCCCCACCAGTTCACGCCGTCTCTGCTGTCCTTCGTAAAACACAAGTGAGATGCCTTCTTTCACTGCCTCTAGTTGCCACAGATGTCAAGAAGCACCATTAAGAAAGAGAAAATGTGCCCTGGCCTGTTTGGCTCAGCGGTTAGAGCGACGGCCTGCAGTCCTGAGAGACCCGGGTTCGGTTCCCGCTAAGGGCACGTATCTCGGTTGCAGTTTGTCCCCAGCCCTGGTTGGGTTATGTGGGTGGCAGCCACTCGATGTGTCCCTTTCATGTCGATGTTTCTCTCTCTTCCTCTCTCTCCCTCCCACTCGATGTGAACAAAAAATGAAAAAATGTGCTCAGGTGAGGATGAAAAAAAAAGAGAAAGAGAAAATGCTACAAGTAAACATTGGCTTGTCCCTTATCTAATGCAACAGTTGCTAAAAGGTGAAATGACACAATTTGGAACGCAGAGCTTTGCTCTCATGGTTTGTTGCTGTCTGCCTGGCTGCCACCACACCTGGCCCAGGTGGAGGTCCATCCAAGCCCTTGCTTGCTTAGGCGGTGCCAGCAAGAAGGCTGCTGCTCCTGAAGCGGCACCCAGGTCCCTCCCTGATGAACTGTGCTGAGCCGTGTGCTCCAGGATGGCAGGACGGAGCCCACCTGAAGCCCAGCGGGCAGACAAACATGCAAGGCAGACGTCGGTGGGTGCCCACAGCAGCGGGAAGATCAGAAAACACCTTTATTGTGGGGAGGGGGATCCCAGGTTGAGACACTGTGGACAGATAGGGCTGCTATGGAAAGTCCAGGGGTCCAAGGGAAATAGAAACTGTCCTGGAAGCTGCGGCACTCCCGGGCGGGGCTGAGCGCCCCCTGCTCCGTGCACCAGGGGCAGGGAGGCCACGGGACTCAGGCGTGTAGGAAGCGGTTGAAGGCATTGTAGGCTGACTCCAGGTCAAACAGCATCTGGCGTACTTGGGAGTCGTCCAGCTCATCAGATGCAGACATGCCGCTCAGGGTCTGCAGCCTGGGGAGGCAGGAGCACTGTGCTGGGGGTGAGCTTGGAGGGGCTCCTGGGGCGCCAGGAAGGGTCAAACACTCACCACTGGCTGACGGTCTGGCGGCCCTCGAAGTCAGGAGGCAGGTGGCTCATTCGGTGCATAGTCTCCATCAGCTCTCGAAGGTCAGGTTGGATCTGCAAACACGTGGCTCAGTGAGACCCTGCTCCCCTGGCATCCAGCCCTGCCCCTGCCCCAGCCCCACGCTCTGAACCCCACCCCCCCATTTCACCCAGGTGCACCTCATCCATGGCACGAATCTCCAGGCGCAGCTTGTCCATCACCGTGATGAAGAGCTGGAGGCAAGTGTGTGCATGAGGTGATGCCCACCCACCCCAGGGGCCAAGAGTGGGAGACCTCTCCCAGGGTCTGGCCCAGGCCGGCCCCCGCCCAGCCCCTCTCTGGCCTGAGGAACCCATCCTTCCCCTCCTCAGCCCAGGCTGTCTGGCCCCTCAGGCCTCCCGCACTTCTTTTTTTTTTTTTTGGTACGTGCCCCTAGCGGGAACTGAACTTGGGACTCTGGTCCGCTGGCCGACGCTGCAACCGCTGAGTCAAACCGGCCAGGGCCTCCTGCACTTCTATTCCCACAATCTGGGGGCTCCTCTACCTGCTGCCTGTAGCTGGGCCTCCTGGCTGCCTTGACCCTGGGCCATCCCACATGGGTCTCAGGCTGGGGAGGGGACTAAGGGGCTTCCTGGACACTGTCTAGTGGGAGGGCCTGCCCACCCCTCTCATTCCAAGCTACAGGCTCCCTGCCCAGTGCCAGTGCTGTCCCGGAAGCCCCAGGACCCTGTGCACATGTGACAACAGCAGGCAGGCTCACCGAGACAACATCGGCTATGCAGCGGTTGAGGTTGCCCTTGTCATCCTTGATGGTGATGGGCCTGTCCTCCTTGATCCTCTCCATGGCTAATGGGCAGTCCAGCTGAGAGGAGGCATGTGGGTGTTGGCCAGTCCCTTCCCAACAGTACCCACACTGCCCACCTTCCACCCTTCAGCAGACTCACGCGGAACTTGCGGCAGAATTCATCAATGGAGCTGATCTCTGAGCCCTGAACCTGCCGGAAGGCGGCTTTATACTGAACCAGGAGGCGGGAGCAGGCTGCAGTGTACCTAGGGAGAGGACCCAGCCTTGGGGCTCAGCATGGGGCTGGCCCTGCCTATCCCCACACAGGGCAGCTCTCATGGAGGGCTGGCTGGCAGGTCAAAGATGGGCAGTGAAGGACAAGGCCTTCCACTGGGTCTGCACAAGAAGAATCTAGATGGGGGGAAGGGACCAGGCCTGGACTGTGCAGATTGGCGCCAAGCCCAGCACCGGGCAGGGTCCAGCAGCCACCTCGTGCCAGCCCCCAGGGACACCCTCCCAGGCTGACTGGGGAGGCAGGTGCCTACTTGCAAACCCTCCCTCCTCTCTCACTCCTACTGAGCACCTCGCCCTGGAGGGCAGAAGCAAGCTTCCAGGGCCAGGTGCCATCCATGACGAGGACAGTGGGCTCTCACTCATTGGGGGTGACGCAGTCCTTGATGTACGCCTTTTCCAGGGCCTGCATGGTCTTCACCACTGCAAAGAGCTCTGCCATGTTGTCATACCTGAGGAGAGAGTGTCCCTCAGACCACGGCCACCAAGGCCTCTAGGGCCCGAGCACCAACTCCACTGAGGTGCAGCTGGGGTGGGGCTCTCCCTTTGGCCCAGCCTAACCCTCACCCTCCAGACCCCTGGGGCGGAGGCTGCTTGGGGGAGGTGGGTGGGCCTGGGGGTGTATGCTGGGGCAGCAGCCTGGGTGCTAGACTCACTTTTCCCTCTCCCGGGCATTCTTATACAGCTTCACTTCCTGTTGGAGAGAGGGGTAGTGTGTCGGCACCGGGGCAGCTGCTCACGTGGGCATGTGCTGTCGGTCAGTGCCAATCAGGCAGGCGCCCACCACTCACCTCATAGAGCTCTGGCTTGTTTCCAGGGGCTGCAACAGAGCAGGCAGAGAGCTGGCAGGGCTGTCCACCCCCCCGGCCCCTCCTGAGACCACCCCCAGGCTATGTCCCAAAGAGTCCAAAGGGAGCTGGAGGATGGAAATTGTGTCAGTTTGTAGGGGGACTTCAGCAGAGGACTTGCCTCTGGGGCTAGGAGGCCATGTGCCTGGCCTGGCCCCCCCACTCCACCACTACTTTTTGGCCACCTAAGTCTACAGCAGGGTGACCACACCTTCCTCACAGCGCAGTAATGTGCACTGTGTTTGTCACATGCGCTGTGGTCTCGCCCCTGGCTGGGAACTCTGGGATGCCCAGAACCCCCTGAAGTTCCAGCCACACTGAAGCTGTCACCTCTGTGCCCAGCTGGCCCTGCCTGGAGAAGGTCTCTGGGCCCCGGTGATAACATGCATCAGTCCCTGAGGCCGTGTAGGTAGGGGGATACTTAAAGATCTCCCTAGCAACTCCTGGCCACCACTCACATCAGTCTCTGCTGCAGTGGCTGAAAGCCTGGGCCCTTCTGGTCCCTGGACCCAGCTTGGACCACACTCACCTCCCATGCCCGGAGTGGCTGGGATCCCGTGAAACATCCTGTAGGCTCAGGCGGCCACAGCAGAGACCTGGGGAGCAGAACCAGCACCGACTCAAAGGGGACCCCTGCCACCTTACGGAGAGCTTCCCTGCTTTAACAGAGATCGATGAGAAACAACGATGTACACACAGGGCAGTAACTGCTATGCTCAGAACACCCACCCTGCCAGGGACGCTGTCAGGGGGAAGCGTCTCAGGAGAACAGTCATGGCCCTGACTAATTCAGCTGGTTAGAGCATCATCCCCTTACTCCAAGGCTGCAGGTTTGATCCCGTCAGGGCACATACAAGAATCAACCAATAGCCCTGGCCAGTGTGATTCAGTGGTTGGAGTGCTGGTCTGCCTACCAAAGGGTCTCAGGTTCGACTCCCAGTCAAGGGCACATGCCTGGGTTGCAGGTTCAATCCCTGGCCCCAGTCGCAGTGCATGTGGGAGGCAACCAATTCAAGCATCTCTCTCACACAGATGTTTCTTTCTCGCTCTCTCTGAAAAATCAATGGAAAAAATATCCTCAGGGATGATTAACAACAACAAAAAATAATCAACCAATGAATGTATAAGTAAGTGAAAAAACAAATCAATGTTTCTCTCCCTAATCACTAAGGAAAAATAAAATAAAATTAGAGAGAGAGCGCGCGCGGTCACGGTGTGGGTAAAGACAGGCTGCTCTGAAGCTGGAGACCAGGGGAAGAGGAAGCAGCAGCATTTGGACAGAGGAAACAGCGCAAGTAACAGGAGCTCCTTTTTTTTTAATGTATTGTCTTTTTTTTTTTTTTTTTAACTATCTTTTTATTGATTTTAGAGAGGAAGAGAAACATTGATATGCGAGAAACATCAATAGGCTCCCTACTGGGTATGGAGCCAGCCTGGGACAGCCCTCAATCAACCGACCCACAGTGACCAGGGCATGGAGGGTGTGTGTGTGTGTGTGTGTGTGTGTGTGTGTGTGTTTTATCCTCACCCAAGGACATTTTTCCATTTTTTGTTCAGGTAGAGTGGGAGGGAAAGAGAGGAAGAGAGAGAGAGAGAGAGAGAGAGAGAGAGAGAGAGAGACACATTGACGTGAAAGGAACACATCGAGTGGCTGGCTCCCGCACAACTCAACCAGGGCCAGGGACAAACTGCAACCAAGGTACGTGCCCTCAGCGGGAACCGAACCTGGGTCTCTCTGGACCGCAGGCCAATGCTCTAACCGCTGAGCCAAACCGGCCAGGGCTTTTTTGTGTGTTTTTACTGATTTCTTAGAGAGAGAAGGGAGAGAGGGAGAGAAACATCAGTGTGAGAGAAACATCAATCAGCTGCCTCCTGCACGCCCCTCCCCCCACCACCGGGGATCAAGCCCATAACACAGGCATGTACCCTGACTGAGAACTGAACCAGGATCTCTCAGTCCATGGGATGACACTCAATTCACTGAGCCACTCCGGCTGGGCTGAAATGCTTTTTTAAAAAAAATTTTATGTGCCCCAGGCATGAAACCGCTCTGACCACCAATACAGGCATCAAGCTAGGATGAACTATGGACTGTACCTCTGCTTTGCCCCTGATTCATGTAAGAGCAACGCCACACATCAGGTGTCTCCTTGCCCAAAGCCAGGTCTTTATATAGGGGCTGATTTGGAAAAACAGACAAGCAGAAGTGGGGGGCACTTTCTGAGTGAGGGGTGTGCCAGGGAATGCGGAAGCCGGCAGGGTCACAGTGCACAGCTCTCAAGGAGCCTGAGTTCTGTACTAACTCAGCAGGAGCTCCTGGAGGATTAAAAACAAGTTCTTGCGGTTCTGGGTGAGCAGTGAGTTGGAGAAAAAACAGAAGCAGGGGGTCCCTGGGAGGGTCCTGTGGTCAGGAAGTGGATGCAGTGACGGGGCCAGGTCTAGAAATGCTCTGGAGGATTCCAAACCCACTTAAGGATTAGAAGAATGACCCGATGGCACCATGACGATAATTGAGCTGAGATGGAAGAGGTAGGAAGGGGAGCAGGTTTGCAGGGCAGGCAGGTGTGCAAGTAAGTGTGCCCTGCTTTGGATGTGTTGGGTTTGAGGCTCCATTAGAGACACCCAAGACATGTGCTAAGGTAGGTGGAGGTCAGTGCTAAGGGGGCACTGTTCCACGGGGGGCAGTTATGGGGTCAACAAAGAGGAAAAGCAGCCCAGGCTGGAGTCCTGGGTCACCCGAATCAGGGGCTGCGCAGCGGGAAAGCAGGGGACGGGCTGGGAGAGCGCAGTGTCACTCCGGCCAAGCCTCAAGGAAGCACGCCTGAGCCGGGGGAGAGGGGCGCCCCGCCGGTCGGGACGGCCGGGTTCCTTTCAGCCACTCGAACCACCTCCTGGCCGCACGCGAATACGCGGCCAAACCTCTCAGACCGGACCTTCGGCCAGAAAAACGGGTTCCCCAACAATGCTCGCGACGTGACTGTAGCTCGGGCTGCCACCGGGGTCCAGGCCAGCACCGAGGCGCCCCGAAGGGGGACACTCGGGGACCCGGCTCGAGCGTGGACAGCGGGGACATGCCTGCGGCCGCCGGTCCCGGGCACCCGGGGAGCCCTCAAGATGAGGGGCCCGGGCGCGACGAAGGGCACCCTCTGAGCGGCGTCGCCTGCGGGCCGAAGCCGGAGTCTCTGGCTCCCACCAGGTCACCCGGCCCCGGCCCGCCCGCCCCCCGGGCCCAGTACCTGCGCAGGATCCGCGGCTCCCGGAGATGGCGCCGGGGCGGGGCTCCAGCTCGACCGCTCGGCGCTCGTGCACATCCCCGCCTGCGTCTCCCTCCCATCGGCATTCGACCCTCATGTCTGCGCCTGCGCGCCAATAGGACAGCCCCGCCCCCGACGGGCTTGGGACCACACCCACCCCAGCGCGGCTCGGAGGCCTGCACAGCCCGCACGGACCGGGGGTTCTGCCCCACCAGGCCTCCAAGTGGCCACATCTGCCTTCGATTCCGCGGCTGTTTTCCTGCAACAGAGCCACCCCGTCTCCCGCCCACCTTGCAGGAGCGGACAGGGGTGAGGCGGCACCAGCTTTCTTTATTGGGGGCGCAGGGAGGGGACAGGGCAGCGCAGGCCGTCAGAGGCGCCGGAGGAACAGCTTGGCACCTCGGTCCAGTGTGCGGGCGCCGGGGCCCGGCTGGCTGGACAACAGCTGGCACAGGGCAGCCCGGTCCTCGGCGGGGAGCCTCCTGCTGCACAGTTGTAGCTCCTGCAGCCTCGCGGCGACTTTGTCCCAGAGGCCCGGGCCCAAAGGACCCTGGATAGCACAGCCTGCAGAGGGGAGGCAGGAGCAGACTAGACCTCAGGGAGCTGCTCCCAGCTGGTGAAAGCTGGGCATCCAGCCCCAGGGTGCCCCCAAGCCCGCGTCCTTTCCTCTTGACCCGTGTGTCCTGGGGAAGAAACACTTCCTCTGAGGCCCCAAGGGTCACAGGAAGGAGCACCGGCAGAAGCCAGAGAGAGTGAACACTAGGAAGGGGTGTGCTCTCCTAGAGGGGCCGCTTGGGCCCCTTTCACAACCAGTGGTTAGGCAGGAGGGAGGTTGGTTGAAATAAACGCTGCGTTCACATCCGTGCCTCAGAGTGTCTGTAACAAGACCAGGGTCTGTCCATCTGTAAAGTGTACACAATAGAGCTGCCTGTGAGTCTCAGATGCACTAAGCTTGATCCTCAGAGGCCAGAGTGCCCAGTAGGCTCAGGACCCCAGGGAGCTTGGTGAGGGTGTGGATGCCAGGAGACCAGGTGTGACATCTGCCACCAGCCTGCTTTCAGGAGGAGCAGGAAGAACCCAGGGGCTCCTTGAGTACACCCACTCCTAGCTCTTGTCCAACTGGAGGGCAAAGCTTGGCTCTCCTGCCCCAGGCTCCAGTTGGATATTCCTGGCTGCTGGGTGGTCTCCTCTGGGTCATCCTCAAGACAGCTCTGGTAGAGTCCTCTGCTTGGATGTACCCACAATGAGAACAAGCTACAGGTTGGGAAGGTAGGGTCAGTCAGTCCCTCTGAGAACTGGGAAGGTCTTGGTGGCAGCTTTCACAACTGTTACTTTGAGCTTCCTCCTCTTGACAGTGGGAATTAGCAAATCCCCTTGGAAGGGGGTCCCACATCCCCCACCATGGTCTCTAAGGGTCTGGCTGAACAGGCCAGAGACAGAGATCCCATTCACCTGCCCTATCGTTTGAGGAGGTGGGCTTACACTCCTTTCCAGTCACCTGTCCTGTACTATCAACCTCAGGGGGCCCAGCCTGCCCTCAACTTCTGGTTGATGGCAGTGACAGGCCCTTCGAAGGAGGCACCTGGGCCTCCGGCAGGTCCCTGAGGAGAAAGCTATGTCACCAGCCCAGAAGTGGCAGGTGTGGCCACCATACCCAGAGCTCACCTGACAGGCCCAGGAAGCTCAGGCCTTGGGGCCGCTCCTGGAGGGCAGACAGGAGCTCCTTCAGGCTGGCACAGCTGATCTCAGGGTTGGCAGACAGGTCCAGCGAAACAAGTGAGGGGCAAAGAGGAAGACATCTGGATGAGGGAAGAAGTGAAGGGATCAGTTTTCAGGGAGCAAGGCCCCCTCACTAGGGAAAGCTTCCCCAGACAAACACAGCTCTGGGGGCGATAGGCCAGGCCTAGTAGGTTCTGACCCCAGCCGGGCACAGGCACAGGTATTCCTTCAGGGCTGCCAGGGCACTGCCAGGGGCCAAGACTACAATGGCCAGACTTGGGCACACCTGGAAAAGAGCTGGCACCATCTCTGTTCCCCTTCCCTGCCTGACCTAGTGCCCCCCTATCCCCAGGCTCCTGGGTCTCAAGATCAGAGCCCCCTCGGGAAGTGGGGGCATGGGCAGGGCAGTTACCTGCTCAGGTTTCTCACTGCCTTGTCGCCCAGGTGGTTTGCAGACAGGTTCAAGTGTGCCAAAGCACAGCCTTCCTAGAAAGCAGAGGCCCAAGGCTGTGGTGAGTGGGTGCTTGCCCTCCCTGCATCACAATGGAGACCAGATACCTTCTCTCTTTTGAGGGGGCATCACAGGGGAGCAGTATCCCCTCAATTTGCAGATCAGAAGGAAAAGCTTTTCATTCTAGTTGTAAGCCACACTTGGCATATTGTGATGTGAGAATCAAGGGGCTGTCCCAGCTGGAAGAGCCCCCAGGAGAGAGCACTGGAAGGTCTGACATGTCCCTTGGGACCTGACTGGGGGCACGGAGGCCACCTGGATCTGCAGTACCCTTCCTGCTGGAATTTACAGCTTCCCCACGGCTGTTCTTCAGAACCTGCTTCACAACCTGCAACACTTCCCAGTCCCTGCCCCAGGCTTCAGCTGTGGCACCTTTGGCCTGGATGGCCCAGGGTTCCTGTGGCTTGGTGTTTGTCCCCAACCATATACCTTGGTCAGGTATCTGACCACAGGCTCCACAAGGCCTGAGTCGCTCTTGTTGGCCATCACCGAGCTGATCTCCAGGCGCAGAAGGGTCTGGGCAGGCAGGCTCTGCAGGGTCTGGGCCAGGGCAGTGCTACCCAGGGCATTGTAGGACAGGGACAGTGTCTTCAGGTGCTTGGCATCTGAACCGGGGGCAAGAATCTCTGTCATGTCAGCCCCGCACAGCCACCACCCCTGCTGCAGAGTCCTAGGCCCAGAACCCTCACTGGGGAAGCTGTCACCCGAGACTTTGTACACAGGGAAATAGGCTGCTCTTGGCCAGGGAGGTGGTGGGCCAGACTCCTGAGCCCATGACAGGACACCCAGGTTGCCTGAGATAGGCCCTGGGAAGGATATGGTGGGGTGGGGTCTGGGAATACTCCCTCTGCTGCCCCAGTCCTAGACCACTCCCCTGTTGCTGCTCACAGCCCTGAGCCTCACTTTCTAGCCCACGAACACTGCAGAAACACCCTCTGGGGGACCCAGCCTCAATACTGAGACCCTGGCTCTCTACAGCCCTGCTGGGCTTACGGTGAAACGATTCAGGCCCACGGAACTGAGCTGGTGAGACCAGTGGGGCTGGGACTCTGTCCAGTGGTAGGGCCCAGGCTGGGCAAATACCAGATGCCCTGAGCCCAGGCAGGTCCAGCACCCATGTCTGTCTACCTACATGTGTCCAGAAGCCAGGTCAATGCCCCAGGGCCCCTCTTGCTCAAAGCTTTCTGAATCCCCTGGACATGCCCATCTGATAACAACTGGAACCCTGGGGCCAGGGAGTGGATGTGTGGTCAGCTCACCTAATAAGGCGCGGCCCAGGGCTGCCTGGTGGTTCATGAGGAAACCGGGGCCAAACCCGCAGGCCTGGAGCTGGAGAGTGCTGAGTACCGGACAGGCCTGCAGGACTGAGGCCAGGGCCTGGCCACAGCCATCCCCGAGGGGGTTCATGCTTAAGTCCAGCTCCTCCAAGTTCTAGGGAAGACACAGCCCCCCACCGCCAATCGGATCTGGTGTCTTTGCCGTCCCAGAGCTGGCCACCAGCCAGCACTCCAAGCTGCACCTTCCCACCGGTGCCTGACCGAATGCAAATGTTCTGACGCCACCCTGTCTCTGGCCTGCTGCTCCCCATGCCTTTACCTGCAAGGTGGCCTGTCCCAGGAGGCCGGAGCCAAGCTGGCACAGGCCTTCAGGGCCCAGGTGATTGGAAGAGAGATCGAGGACGGTCAGGCCAGGCACAGTGCCCAGGGCAGCCAGCAGCTCTGTGACACAGCTGTCTCCCAACCGGTTCCCTGCCAGGCGCAGTTCCCGGAGCGCTGAATGCAGCTTGAGAGCCCGAAGTAAGGGGGTGAGCTGGTCCTGGCGCAGAGCCAGGGAGCAGGCGCTGAACAAGGGGCCCACACCCTGGCACTCCATGGCCTGTAGCACCTGCTGGTGCTCCCCTACAAGGGGATGTGGTGTCATCAAGGCCAGAGCCTTCCTGGCAGCGAGCCAGGCAGCCTCTCCTCACTCCTGAGCCCACCTGCTCCAAGCCTGTGGGCCCCAGTGCAGACCTGCATCTTCCCTGTCAGCCCCTCCCCACCACACCTCAGCCTGGCAGCTCCCAGGCCTGGCCCAGCCTTGAGGCTCTGGGGTCACTACAACGTCCCACCTTCAAATGAAGCCATACCGCCTGCCCCTCCCCCCACCCCCTGCTCACATATGTGGGCACTGGTGGTGGAGGAAAATCTGAGCACAGGTGAACTGGGAGTGGCACTGACAGGTGGAGCCCGTGTGCCCAGCCCCTCTATCCAGGTCACTGCGAGCCTCCTGGGCCCTTACCTTGCTCTAGGCTCTGGCAGGCCCTCCGGTAGCGGTCAGTCAGTGGGGGGAGGTCCCACGAGGTCACTTCAGCCAACACCTGGAAAGTACCATCAACAGGCAGCCCTGGGGACACCCAGCACCAGGGATGCCCCACTCTCAGGACCCTGGCTCTCAGCACTCACCTCCTCATTGCTCTGCAGCACATCGAGGATAGGATCCTGTGGAGCCAGTAGGGCCCCCTCCTTTCGTAGGGTGAGCCTTGGCAGCAGCCCACAGGCTTGATAGTAGCGCTGGGCAGCCTGTTCCGCCAGCCAGGCCACAGAGTGGGCCTCACTGCTGTGGGAACAGAGGGTACTGAGCCCTAGACATGGCCAGATTCCTGCACATGCCGAGAAGAAGCCCCAAGGTCCTGCTCTCTGTGCTCTCGGGTTAAATGCTCCCTCATCTGGCTCCCCCTCCTCATGCACTCAGGATGCCAGTGGCCTCTACAGCCCAGCCCACCTCCAGCTCCCTGGGCCGTTCCCAGGGGCCACAGGACCTGTCCTGACCACTCTAGGGCCCTGCCTACTTTTGTGCAGAGCACTGACCTTGCCTGCTGCCCCACCCCGGCTACCAGGCCCCAGGAGCCAGCAAGGGTGATGCATCCCCCCTGCCACACAAACACAGGGAACTGGGGCTGGAAGAGGGCAGGGGATGCCTTACCTATGTGGGACAGGGATGAGGAAAAGGTTATCCTGAACTCGAACTCGAACTCGGATAGTAGGGAGCAGGACAGGTCCCTGGAATAATGGGGCAGGGAGTGATGGCCGAGTCAGAAAAAAATACCTTCTACCCTCCCCCCACCCCAAGGTCAGGGCGGGCTCTGCTCCAGGCTTAGGAACCCACCGAAGGATGACCTGTCACAGGGTTGTCCCCACTGGGGACATCAGGGCTCTGCGGGGGCTCTGTGGCCGAGGTGCCGTCTCCACCTGCTCTGACTGCTGCATTCCAACTCTTGAGACTGGACAGGCGACTCTGTCTGGCCTGGGACCGTGGCCTGACGGGGCTCTCATCAGTGCTTGAACTCAAGGCACTATGCTTGGTCCTGAACCCACTGCTCTGAGCATGGAGCGGCCGGCGGCCCTGGTTCAGCAGCATGTCATCCTCCAGCCAGGCCCCAGCCAGACACTCCTCCTCAGGGATCAACGCTGCCTGGGGAGTGGGGGCTTCGCCTGGGCCCCGAGGTGGACCAGGCCTCGGGTGGCAGCTCTGGGCACTGCCCACTCCTCGCATGGCTGCCCAGTAGTCTGCCCGTCCAGCTGCTACTGCCTCCCTATTGCTGATAGGGCCAACCGTCCAGGCCCTGGCTCGCTGTACTGGGGCAGAGTGCCGAGGTCTCTTCTGGGTTGGCCCAGGTGGGCCCATGCTGTCCTCATCCTCAGAGCTGCTACTGCTGGCCAGCTTGTGCCTACTCCTCCGAGGCCTGGACACAGCTGGAACTGCCTCTGCCTCTGAGATCCTGGCACTGGCCTGAGAGGGCTCTGGGGGTCTCAGGCAGGGGCTCGAGGAAGGAGAGGTCTCGGGGTCAAACAGATGGTCACTTGGGAGGGACTGGGGAGCCAGGCGGCTGTGGGGAGCTGTGGGGAGATGGAATCTGCTGTAAGGTAGGCCCAGGGGACCCCCAGGCTAGGGAGCAAGGTCCCCAGGGGCAGGAGGTCCCCGCTTGCCTCGGCCTGAGGAAGCCGTCTGGAGCAGCCTCTCCATGGCGCCAGCCTTCTCTCGTGTCTCGCTGTCCAGGTCCCTGTGGTACAGCTTCATCCACTGCTGCAGTGTCTCCAACGGGCTGTGGCCCTGTGTAGCACCCAGCTGAGCAAGGTTGGTGGGAACAGACCCACCAACCATGGCTGAGCCCACCTGGCCCGTGACCCCACTCACCTTTCTGGTTCGGAGGGTGACCGATGCCCCCCGTTCAATGAGCAACTCAGCCACCTCGAAGTGGCCGCATGTGAGAGCATCGTGCAGGGGAGTGATGCCCTCGCAGCCCTGGCCACCAGGGTCATCCACTGCAGCCCCATGGTCCAGCAGGAAGCGGACGATGTCTATGGGATGGGGGACATGAGCCAGCTCCCAGAACCCTTCTTGAACCCCTCCCTGTTATGACAGACCCCTGGCCCATGCTCACCCAGATGCCCGTAGTTGCAGGCCTCGTGCAAGGGTGTCCAACCACAGTAGTCCCGAGGGTTCAGGGGGTGGCCCTGTGACCAAGGATGGGAAGGAGCCTGACCCTCAGTGCCCTACAGTCTGGTCTTACTTCGGAGCTCTGAAGCCTAAGGAGGGCCAGGGCCTAGGCTGTACCAGAGCGGGTCCCATGGGCCCATCCACAGCCTGGCCTGGCCCAGGTCCCACCAGAGCAAGGGAGATGCTCCCCCCACCATGAGGTAGAGTCCCAGGCAGGGCCAGCAGCACGGTGCTGGCTCCCATCCCCTTGGGGCACATAGTGTACCCCCTGTGAAAGTTCCTGCTATGCCCCATGGCATGGAGGGATGGGGCGCAGGCCCACCTGCCTCACGAGGTCTTGGACGCGGCGCAGCTGGCCCTCAATACAGGCTCGGTGCAGCAAGGTCTCCCCGACGTCATTGCGCCGGTTCCACTGTGGGCACAGTTACCACAGAACAGGGGATGCAGAGGCATAAGAGGACCAGGTCATGGTGAGCCCCAGAGGGGACACGTACCCCACAGTTCTCACCTTGTTCACCTGCTGCCGGCCCAGGCAGCCCCGAAGCTCTTCATCCTCCTCCAGGTCCTGGGACTGGCTGTCAGCCTCGCCCTCTGCAACAGAGCCGAGCCTACTGCCACCCACTGTTTGCCTACCTGATCCCTGCCCACTGTGCACTGACCTCTCGCCCTGAACCCAGACCCCACGCTCAGTGTCCTGCGTCTCCTGAGACGCATCCTTGTTGGACAAGTCACATCACATTAAAAACAGCTTGTCCGCCCTGGCTGGTTTGGCTCAGCAGTTGGAGCATTGACCTGTGGACCAGAGTCCCGGGTTCGGTTCCTGCTAGGGGCATATACCAAAAAATAAATAAAAAAGATAAAAGCTATTAAAAACAGCTTGTCCTTGCCCAGCCAGTGTTGCGCAGTGGCTAGTGTTGGCCCTTGCACTGAAGAGTCTCAGCTATGTCCAGCTGGTGTGGCTCGGTGGTTGAGCGTCGACCCATGCACCAAGAGGTGGCTGGTTAAATTCCTGGTCGGGGCACATGCCCAGGTTGTAGGCGAAAACCCCAGTGGGGGGCATGCAGAAGGCGGCCAATTGATGTTCTGTCTCATCAATGTTTTTATCTCTCTCTCTCTAAAATCAATAAAGAAAAAATAAATTTAAAAAAAGGTTCTCAGATTCAATTTCTAGTCAAGGGCATGTACCTGGGTTGCCAGTTCGATCCCCGGCTGTGGTTGGGGTGTATGTGGAAGGCAACCAATCAATGTGTCTTTCTCACACTGAATGTTTCTCTCTCTCCCTCCCTCCCTTACACTCTCTCTTAAAAAAATAAATAAATAAATAAAAATCAACAGAAAAAAACATCCTCAGATGAGGATTAACAAAAAAATTTAAAATAAAGCTTGTCTTTGAGCCAGACACCCTCTACCTGCTCACTGTGGCCTCCTCCCCCAGCTCCTTACATGACCCTCTTTACCTCTGCCCCCTGACCCTTCTAGGGCCTTTTCTCATTGTGACCATCTGTTGAACAGCACTGCCTGAAGCTGTCTTTGTTCTCTTTGAGCCCAGCCTTCCCTCCCTGCCTCCCTCCTTCCTGAGATGGCCGCAGTCCACGTCCATCTCAGACTGTCCCTCATGTCCACCTACCGAGGTTGATCATGCCAGCCTCCGGGGGAACCCACAGTAGCTCTCATGGTGCCCTTTCCGCAGGTCTGAGCCTAGGCTGCCTCCCCCATGATGCCCATCAGCTCCCATCATCAGCCCCGCCGGGAATGTTCCAAAGCTGCCCCCAGACTACCTTACACCTGCCCCTCCTCTGTCTCACTGGCACTGGTCACCTTCCTTGCATGGAGTTGTCTCCTATCACGAGATTGTGAGCAACCCTGATGAGGGCCCCAGCCCAGGGCCCAGCTCGAACTGGCATCAGGGAGAAAACGCCAGGGCTGATGGTAACAATCAGGTCTCACCGCTGTCTGAGAGCTCGACCTCACTGGCCTCCAGGGTATTGCTGTCCTCATCACCTTCCCCATCCTCCTCCTCCTCCTCCTCCTGGTCCACGCTCAGCTCCTGTAGTCTGGCTTTAGTGCCAGGAGCCTCCTGGGGCCGCAGCCTCAGCTGCACAGTGTGGAGGTGTTGCAGGACCTGCCTCTGAGGAGCAGGGGATGCCCTGTCAGGGACATGGGGATGCCAGCCACCCCGGGTGGGGAGACACAGGGCAGGGAACAAGGGGCCCAGTTGGGTGGGTGGGGCAGCACCTGCAGTCGGGGCCGCTGAGCTTGCTGAGCACAGCTGAGAGCCTTCTGGAAGCATGGTGCCAGATCCTCATAGGTGTCACCGGCCTCCTCTCGGGACAGTGCAATATTCAGCCAGGTCTTGGCCTCCTGGAGGCAAGACAAAGACAGATGAGTTCAGTGATGGCTGCCCCCCTCAAAGAAATGCCCCTCCATGCCCACCACCTGAGTGGCAGTCCTGAGGCAGAGCCATGGGGACAAATGCAGAGACCCTGTGTGTGCCATCACTGCTTACCTCCAAGGCATTGCCCTCACGCAGCCTCAGCTCCTTTTCATAGTGGTGCACGGCCTGGCGGTGGTCCTTCATGTCTCCAAAGGTGGCAGCCAGGGACACATGGATGACAGCCAGCTCAGGCCCTGGCCTGCTCAGCAGCTCTGCGAAATCCAGCTGGGGACACGACAGTGAGGCCAGGGCTGCTGCACACCTTGTGGGCCCAGAGCATTGCAATCCCTTCCCTCCCACTGGGCTGGGTGTGCACCTGCTTCTGGTAGGCCTCAGCCGCCTTGGGAAAGTCGCCTGCCTTGGAGAACAAGTCCCCCAGCTGCTCACAGATGCCCATGGCGCCCTGAGGGTCACTGCTCTTGGATTCCTCCAGCTGCTGCTGCAGCCGGATCACTGCCAGCACTGCCGGGAAGAGCCTCACGTGAGGCTCTGCCTGGCTCTGCCACTGGTTAGCCATGTGCCCTCAGGGGGGCCACCCATCCCGCCCAGCCTCCATTTGCCCGTTGGTAAGAAGGGGTAGTCAGAGAATCAGCCTCATGGGGTTGTTGTAAGGACTAGAAGAACTAATTGCTGACAACTCAGAGTAGTGCTGGCTTGCAGCAAAAGCAAACCACACTGCCAGTTGCTGCTGACGCCACCCATCAGTGCTCTGGGCCGCATATCCTGTCCACTCTAGGCAAGGACAACTTTTATCTCTGGTTTGCCAAAGATGCTGGTTCACATGGAAATGCCCAACCAGTCTTCTGACCACACTCGGGGCCTTTCTGATACTCTGTGCTATAAACTCAGAGAAAAGTGGGACTCTCCTCCCAACAGGAAGCTGCCACCTCCCCAAGGACACATACCCAGCCCTCTCTGCCAAGAGAGGGGAGCCCTTAGCTCCCGGGGTCCCCTTCCAGACTTACCATACTTGAGGGTCTGGTACACAGCTGCCTTCTGCAAAGGCTTCTGGAAGCCCAGCCTACAGGCCTTCTTCAATGCTCTTTTGGCAGCTGGAAAATCGCCCAGGTCTTGGAGGACCTGGGGGGTGAGGGAGGTGAGGCTTGCAGTCCCCAAGGCCCCAGCCTGCCCACAGATGAGCCCATTGCTGCTGAGAAGGCACCTGTGAAATGATGCAACAGCACTCGCTCTCCATGAACCCCTTCTTCATGGTGCGTGCACACTCCCGGGCCCCCTCTAGGCAGCGCATGGCTTTGGAGTGCTGTCCTTGGCGCCAGTGGATGGTGCCCAGGTTGTAGCGGGCACGGAACAGGTCCTCATACAGGTGGTTCTGCCTGCGGGTGGTGACAAGCACTAAGTGCCTAAGGCACCACAATGGGCACCTGAAGCACTGATATGTAGCTGTTGATGCCACTCAGCCCAGCAGCCCACCTGTCCTCCCCCAGCATGTGGCACAGACACGCCAGGCTGCCCACCCCCAGCTGCTTCTTCCAGGAACAGGGGACTCAGCTTCCTCCTGGGTCCAGTGGGATAGGCTTACTCTGCAAGAAAGATGCTCTTCTTGAAGTAGTCATTGCACAGAGCTGTCTGCTGCAGACTCTCAAAGGTAAGGCCCAGGTTGAGGTAGAGACGGGCCCTCATCTCACTCAGCTCTCGCTTGGGCAATGTCCCTGGAAGACAAACCCTCTACACATTCAGGGCCTTGACCCCAATTGGGGTCTCCAGCTTTGGGCTGTCCCCCACGCCCCTCCCGTGAGGTTCCAGGGGTCATGCTGCAGACAGAGTGTGGAGGCACAAAGAACAGACAACTGATCGCCAGACTCGAGGCTGCCAGGAGCATGAGCTGTGTGTCCCCTCATGAGTGGGCTTCTAAGAACAGATCCCAGATTCATAAGGGGAGGGCCCAGGCAGGTAGAGTCTGCCATGCAGACTGGGCAGGCGGTGGGTAGGGCCAGACCCCAGGGCACTCACTTTGCAGCTTCTCGTCCACAATAGCCAAGCTCTTCTCAAAGGCAGCCTGTGCTTGCAGCAAGGCATCCTGTGACTGGCAATGATCATAGATGTCTAGGTGGGTGCGGCCAATGGTAGCCCAGGCCCTTTGCAGCTCAATGTGGTTTGACAGGGAAGAGGCCAGCTCCAGGTAGTGGTGCTGGTGCTGGGGGGCAGAGGGATAGTGGCTGTGAGCCAACCCCTACCTCAAGCAAACCCCACATGTCACCTAAATCCACGGGGTCCCTATCCTTGCACAGGAGAGCCCCCCGTTCCCTGGCGCACCCAACCTTGACCCTCACCCCTAGAGCATGACCTTTATGCCAAGGGCTGCCTGTGCGGACATTGGCTCCACAGCCCAAGCAAACGTCAGGATAGGGGAGAAACAACAAGTGAAAGTTAGAAGAGTTATTGCAGCCCCAGCACCTAGAGCCAGGGAAGACTCTGTGTGAACAGTGGGTCCTGACACTCACCACGCCAGTCCATAAATGCAGCTCAAGTTATGTGTTCATTAAGGGTTTCTGGAGTCAAGCTCCCAGGAGGGGCTGTGGTGCAGCCAGCCAAGGACCAGGTAACACCCTGGCACAAGGCTCTCTGAAGGTAGAGCCCAGTCCCAGTACGTTCCCCTCTAGTCAAAGGCTGGGGCAGTAGAGACGGTTCATCTGCCCTCAGAAAGGGACCCCACGAAGGGCAAACCAAGAAGGGCTGGGTCTGGCAATGGGTGCTGGGTGGGCGTGCCCACCTGCAGGGCAGCTGGGTAGTCCTCCATCTCGGCCAGTCGTTCTCCGATCTTTCGGTGGGCCACGGCGCAGCCCAGGGGGTCGTCGGCGCTCTCCAGGAGCTGCAGCTCCTGCTGATGCTCCTGCAGGGCCTCGGAGTAGCGACCTAGGCGGGCAGGCGGGCAGGCTTCAGCAGCCCGCCGAGGGCCGCGAGGGCCAACGGGAGGAGGGCAGCGCGCTCGACAAGGCTCTCGGCCCCCATCCCGGGTCCCCGCGCTTCCCAGGCCCCAGCCGTGGACCCCACCCGGGGCCCCGCGCGAGGCACGCACCATGGCTGGCCAGGAGCTCCCCCAGCTGGTGGCAGAGGGCGGCCTCCTCTCGCAGCTGCCCGCTGTTCTGGGCCTTGGCCTTGGCCTTGCTCAGCTCTGTAGAGAGAGGACAAGGTCGGGAGGCTGAGCCCCTCCGCCCAGGCCGGGTAGGCCCGCCCCAGCCCCCGCGCTCGGGCGCTCCGCCCGGGAACTCACGGCGAATGTCGCGGTCCAGGCTCATAATCGGGTCACCGCGCAGGGATCCCGCCGCCGTGCAAGATTCCGGACTTCCCGCGTTTCCGCGACCCCGCCCCCGCCCCGAGCAGGCCCAGTACCGCCCCGCGCGTCGGGGGGCATCCCGGGAAGTGTAGTCCAGTCGCCCGAAGCATCATGGGAGCTGTAGTCCGGCTGGCGCTGCGCGGGAAGAGAGTCGAGAGGGTGGCCGCCTCCTGGGACTCCTGTGATAGTCTGGGTGCTGAGTCCCCCCCCACTTCCCACCCCGCCACGGCCCCGCAGCAGTTCCCGCCCCGTGCTGCCGCCCAAACCTACCCACAGGTGCGACTTTTCCTGAGAAGTGCACTGCCCTCATGTAGGTGACCCGCGATCACGCCGGCTGAGAATTCGTGCACGTGCACGTGGTCAGACGAGCCCCGAAGGCGGCCGTACTGCCGTCCCTCTTGGAGACTCAAACCCAGTGCTGCCGGGGCAGGGAGACGTTTTCCATTAGCGCGCAGACCCACCGCGCTCGCAGACAGCAAGGGTGGCACCTGGCTCCGAGCCAGCGGCTCCCGCGGAGGTCTGCGCACGTCTGGAACCCCATGGGCTTGGTGCACCCCGGCCCCAGGCTCTGATCGCCGGCCCTGGCCCCACGCTGAGAACCCAGGACCTGCCACACCTGGGGGCTCAGTCCCTGGCACACGGCACCGCCCAGACACCGGGTGCCACGGCTGGTGTCCCAAAAGACCCAGAAGAGGCCTGGAAGGAAGGAGTGGGAGATGCACGTGTTTATTTTCTGTGTTGTTCTTGCTTTAGAATAATTTTATTGATTTTTTTAGAGAGAGAGGAAGAGGGAGGGAGAAAGAGAAACATGGATGTGAGAAAGAAAAACTTTGATTGGCTGCTTCCTGCTGAATCCCTGGGGCGAGGGGTGGGGGGCAGGATTGAGCTGCCACCCAGGCATGTGACCTTAATGGGGAATTGAACCAGCAACCCCCCAGTGCACAAGAATTCGCCCAACTAACTGAGCCACACCAGCCATTGTGGACGTGTTTTATTTTCCATGGAAACTGAAAGACACCCAGTGGGGTAAAGGCCTCAGTCAGTGGATGGACAACAAGGTCTATTAAGAAGGGAGTGATGTGGGGAACAGAGGGATCCTTGGGTCCAAGAAAGGCTGCCCAGGGGCAGTGCCCTGGCCACAGGGGTGGGACAAGGCCAAGCCTGAGGAGCTGCAGGAGGTGGGAAGTTAGACCTGGTGACCCACCGCTTCTCCTGAAGAGTGCATTGCTCTTTTGGGAACCCTGCCAGGCCTGGGTTTGGGGGACCAAGTCCAGGAAGCAGACTCCCCAGAGATGCTGGAAAGACAGTGACTAGGCTCCCCATGCAACGCCAACCTTCTCAGGGTAGCTCAGGTCCTGGGGACCTGATTCCCCTTCTGAAAGGACCCAACTGCTCTATGCCTGTTTTCCCACTGATTAGGCAGGGATGTGTATACTAGGTGGTGCTGTGCAGCAGCTGGAGGTTTAGGGTGGGTGGCCACACACTGGGGGCCAGCAGGGGCGGAAGTTGACCCCTGGCTGGGAGGCTAGCAGAGCCCAGGGAAGCCCACCCATGAGGCTGTCTTCTCATAAAGAAACACAGACAAAACGTGGTTTAGATTTTTTTTTAAAACTATAGTTACATACAGAAAATAGCCAAAGAGAACTCAGACCACAAAAGTGACATGTAAGTCATTTCCAACAGTGGTAAAAACACCTCTCACTCCACTCTTTAAAAAATTATTTTTATTATTTTTGTAAATGTCTCACTTTGGGTGAACTGAGGATGTAGTGCTCACAGGGAGTGGGGATGAGAAGGAGAAGGCCGGCTTGGTCTGCACCCCCAGGCCTCCCACACATCTGCAAAGGTGGCATCTCCACCGGCTCCAGGTCAGGATGCCAAGATAGCAGGGAGTCCTGGATCAAGACCACTGGTGTCTCCATAAATCAATGGCCCAATGAGATGTCACAAGTCTGTGACAGCCGAGATTCCCCAGGGTTCCTGGTTGCCCCATCTGTAAGGTGACCACTACAGGGCTGGGATGTATTAGCAGTCCTCTTGGGCACCCTAGACACACACCCAGGCCCCCTACAGGGAGAGCCATCTGGGTGCAGTCCCACTTACACATGTGGCAGACCCTCCTGCTGCACACACAGGGCCGTTGGCCCCAGGACTGTCCGGTCCCCTCTGGCAACCACATCCTTTCCTTCACCTGCAGAGAAATCTGCCGCCTCCCACCCTGCGCTACCCAGGAGAGCCACCAGGGGCTGCCCTCTGCTGACTCAATCTCTCACACAAGCCACCCAGACACAAGTGGGTCAGGCAATCCCATCCCTGCCTGGATGCCCTCACAACACGGGCACTTGAAAATCCAGAAACTCGACTGAAAGGGTGTCGGTCCCCAAAAAAGGCCAAGATGCAGTGACACAGAACAATCTTCTACACACAGGACACCTGACATGCATCTACCTGAATGTTACTCTCTGTGCAGGCAGTGGGACTCACACCAGGGTGTGCCCAAGTTGAGATCAGTGGGGTGGGGGTGGTGGAGTGGGGACTACTGTGGGGTCTTTTTTTTGTAGAGGGCAGAAAACCAAGCACACAGTGCCTCCTGGTTCCCTCAGTGGCCAGGCCATCTGCAGGAGAGGGACGCCCCCCCCCCCCAAGAGCCCCAATGCCCTGGGCTTGGAGCAGGAAGCCAAACAGGCTCCTCAGAGTAGGTTAGGGAGCCACCCTGGCAAGAGAACCGAATAGAGGGCCAGGAGAGGGAGGAGCCCGAGAGAGGCCAGCCTGTGACTGCACTGCCCATGAGCCCTGCAGGACTAGAGCAATAGGGCTGCTCTGAGGCACAGGGTGGGCCTGGCTAGGGGCAAAGGAAACGGTTCTTTGGTATTGAAGCAATGAAAAGCTATCACAGAAGAGCCGTATCTCCTAAGCAAAGGGTGGGGAGGGAGGGGCGAGGGAAGCTCTCCAGTAGCTCCGAGGGTCCCAGGGTCCTCCAGACAGGGTTCTTTTTACCCTGAGGCCCACACACCAGGCATACTCTCTGGGGCCGGGGTCATGGGACCTGGGTGGGGGGCAGCAAAGTTGAGTCTGGGAAGGGACTGCCTCTATCCAGTGGGAAACCACACTGCCCAGGAGCTGACCTCCAAAGTGGGCCCCAGACACAGGACCAGCAGATGGCCTCTGAGAGCATGGGGGCAGCTGGCCCACTTGGACCCTCACCCAGCCAGGCTGGGCCACCGCCAGTGCCCCCCCCGAGCTTTCCTCACAGAATGGGGATGCTGCACTGTCAAGGCTGAATACAGAAAATGGATTCTCTCTCGCTTAATTTGCATAACTTATAGATGAGCCTGTAAAGAATCATTTATTTCCTGGGAGGAGACAATTTCACCCTGCATTCCGAAACATCCGTTGAGCCCAGATGGCCAAGTCCTGCATCCCTGGAGCAGCTGGGGGTGCACTGAGGCTGCTGTGAGACCCCTGCCCACTGGCCCCTCTGGGGCCCAAGCCGGAAGGGGCAGCATTTCGGAGTGTCTCCTAGGGGGCGCCCCGAGGGATAAGGGGGCTCCAACCCCCAGGCCAATCAAAGCTCCCCTGCTGTCTAATCACAGCCACACCTTACCCTCGAACAAAACAGAAAGTAGGAAACAAGGGTGCCTTTTTAATTGCAATCAAATATGCCGTCTGCAGCCAGCACCCCGAGCTCGGCCCAGGAGCTGTGTGGCCCAGGGCAGGCAGGGTGCCTTGCCGAGTGACAGAGGCCGGCAGGTCGCTGTGCTCGCTTCGCGGTGTCCCTGGACCAGCCTCTGTGCCCTGGACAGAGAGGCAGGGTGGCGGGCAAGGTGGTGAGCGCTCACACCTTCACACACATGCAGACTCTCCCAGAGTTCACGTCTGTCCCTCCTCCTTTGCTGAAATGGTCAGACAGCACTGTGAAGCTGCAGCCAGGGTGTGGGCAGCGCAGCGGGCTCCTATTTCTGGATCTGGAACAGGAAGAGCCGAAGGTTGATGTTCTTGGCGGCCAGCAGCTTGTTGCACTCCACGGAGTCCACGATGGGCAGTGGCACGTAGTCCGTCTCATTGCTTTCATTGGTGAAGACAAAGTGGTAGATGACGGGGCTGATCTTCACGTCGTCATAGGGGCCCTTGAGCAGCAGGAAGGAGCACTCCAGGGGCGCCGTGACCTTGCTCTTGAGGAGCAGCTGGAAGGACAGTGTGCGCTTGCATGACAGGTTGGGGTTGCGCTCTGAGTCGTTCACGCGCGCCTTCAGGACCCATGTCTGGTTCAGCACCGTGAACCTTGGCGTCTCGTAGTATAGGCGTGTGATGAAGTCGTCTGTGCGGTACGGCCGGAACTGGACCTCTGTGGAGACAGACAGGCCGGATAGAGCCGGCAGTCAGGGTGAGCCGGGCTGGAGGCGACGCCTTCCGACCAGCCGAGGACACAGGCTCAGCCAGGGAGGAAGGCAACTTACCAGAAGGACACAGGTGCTCTACTTGTCACAAGGCAAATCAAAGGCAATTATGGCAAATGGAGGCACACAGAGGCTTGGGGAAAGAAGTGACACGCATTAGCTGCAGGGAGTCCAGAGGCTGCGAGGCAGGTGGCCAGCCCAACCCCTGGCCTCCCTCCTGGCCCCCCACCCACCCCAGGGCCGTGGGTAAGCAGACACACAGACAGGATGCAGTTCTGAGAACAGTGCACTTTATTGGTTCCATACAGAGCTGCCAGAAAGCCGGCAGGCAGGCCGGTGTGTGACATCCGGCCAGAGTCGAGCGCTGGCATGTGGCCCACCGCTGGGCTCTGCTGCCACAGTCCTCAGCACAGCCCGTGCCCAAGGCCGGCTTGTCCCTCTACGGAGGCGGCCAGTCCTTCCTGCGTGGATGGGCTCCCTGCCCTGTCACCGCCCAAGTCACGACGCCTTGGCCTGCCCAGACACGGAGGCCTGGCCTGTTTGTGCCACGGTGCCCACCAGGGAGACTGAGGCTGCAACTAACCAGGCCCTGGGGCCCTCAGCCTCTTGGCC